TCATATATACCCACATTAGGGTTTAGGGTTTAGATCCCTATAATCCCTATATAATCCTCATATATACCCATATTAGAGTTTAGGGTTTAGATCCTTATAATAATTCCTACATAGTCCTCATATATACCCCTATACTGGTACCTATATTCACTCCCCCGCTCTCCCTTTAGCGCCAGTAGGCTTCGCGAAGACGAGCTTCACGGACTGCTTGCAAGCCATGCTGCCACTAATTAAGGGATTACAATAGTACCCTCCCCCCAAAGGTACCCCCCCCAAATTTAGAATCCTATTAGGCCTTATTAAGACCAAAATAGTCCTTATTAGCTCCTTAAACCCTTGGGGGGGTTACCTTTGGGGGGGGGGTTTCCATTGTTATCCCTTACTAATTCATGTGCAATCACTCCGTCGATAAAAGAAGCAGAGGAAGAAGTAGTGTAGTTTTCGGCTAGTTTTCTGTTTATAAACCCGTGTTTCAGGCCAGTGTCCATTTCATTCTCCATCTTTTCCCTTTGATTCTCCATTTTTGGGGGTAGAGTAATTTCCCCATATACGCGAGTAGCAAGAGAAAATTGAAAGACAATGACTCGGTACTTTCCACAAATGGGGACCCCAAGATGGACTACAAAATTCCATAATCCTTATTATGGGGACCCCCCCCTCCCGCGAAAACGCGAAATATCCTCATAAACCTCACCATATAGTCCCTACACCCCCATTTCAAACGTGCCCCCAACATCTTGGGGAAATCCTAAAAACCCTAAAAACCCTAAACCCTAAAAATCCTAAACCCTAAAAACCCTTAACCCTTAAAACCCCAAGCCCTAAACCCTAAACCCATTCAGGTCAAGGCCTTTCTTCACCCTCTCCTCTACCGTCATCATGATGCATGCAGTTGTGGTGACCATGTCCTCAGCTACCTGCCATGAAGTTCATGCTGTAGTCTCCTTGGGCGGGTTAGGGGTTTTTGAGGTTTGGGGGGTTTATTATACATAGTATAACGCGAATTAAGGAAGCAATTGCAAAGTTTGATTGTTTAAGGGGACTGCAGTATGTAGCAGCCTGAATGATTACCAATATTGCGGTCGCATATTGCTCGTACAGTGATAGTATAGGATACCTCAGAGAGACCGAAGAAATATATTTGTATTGTTTTAAGGTCTTTATGGTATGGTATAGGCCTTCAACTCATTCGTAGAAGCACATTTGGCGATTGCCTGCGCATGTGCGTGCTAGCTGCTAAGGATTGGGAAGTCAATCATATCGGCGGCACACCTCCGCAGATTTTCAATCTGCTGGAGATGCTCGGTTGCTGTTAAGGAATTTAAATGAAGTTACCTTGATAAATAGCAAGGCAACCCCATTATGTACTATACCCCTATAGTATGGTAACTTAAATGCGAAATACCTAGACCCTATAGACCCAATTGTATGGTAACTCCATCTAAATTCCGCCTTAATACAAAATATAATATACTATAATATATTATAAAGCCTTATAAGATATTACAAAATACTATAAAACATTGTATTATACTACAATGTACTAGAACATACTTATATATATATATAGTATAATGTACTAAGGTATACTATTTCATAACATACTGTAGTATACCATAACACAGCAACCCAGGATGGGTCTCCTCAACCTAAATCCTAAACCCCTCAAACCCTAAACCCCCCAAACCCTAAACCCCCCAAACCCCTAAACCCCCATTAAACCCTAAACCCCCTCCCAAACCCTAAACCCCCCTAAACCCTAAACCTCCCTAAACTCTTTAAACCCCATCTCAGGATGGGTTTCCTCACCTTCTACGCAATCGAGCTGGGGCTCCGAAACTCATCCTGCGCTCGTGAACTCTTTCTGACTCCTTTGGGTGTTGGGTTTTAGGGTTGTGGGTTTAGGGTCTAGGGTTTAGGGTATTAAGGCTTCCTAAGGGGTACCTTTAAAAAGGGGGGTATAGGGGTTCTATAGGGATACATAGGCATGTATAGCCAACTACAAAGAACATGTCACAGTCAGAGTGATGATATGAGTTGGTGCTGCTAATTCATAGCAAAAAGAACTCCAAAGAGCGGATGATAGTGTCTCCAGTGAGCTAAGGACTTTCAGTACATCAATGCTTCTTCTTCATAGGTGAGAGTGCGGGCTGGAATTGGTTCGATTTTCTTCTTGCTCCCTGCCTGGCACTGGCACCTCTGCGGCCACCATGGCTGATGCATGCTGAAGCAAGACGGCTTCAGAGTCCTAAATGCTGTGTAATAACAATAGTAGTAATAAGAAAAAATATGGAAATAACAGTAACAAACATTAATAGCAATATTCTGAATAAGAGTAATACTGGTCGTACTAATGGTTGTGGCGGAGCTCTAGTCCAAGATGTCACACCTTGACAGACTCACCCTAACGTGAGCCAAGGTTGCCTTCTCGGCCTTGGATGTTGGATACTACATCATGCAGCTTTCAAAGCAGGAAGAGGAAAGCGGAAGCCGCTTGTCTGGTTATTCCCGGTTGTGTAGGGGTTATATAGGGACAATGGAAAAGGAAATGGAAACTACTGTTCAGGTTTATGGGTTTGGGGGTTTATGGGTTTAGGGTAGGCTCAGAAGTACCCTGCCAAGTACACTGCCACAAGAGTCTGGAACTTCATCCATGAGCTCCTGTTCAAAGGCTATGTTGGGTTGTTTCATTCCCGCTCAAGCGGAAGATGGACTTGGGGATGGTTGCTTCTAGAGTTTGGTTTGAAGGCTTTCGGTGCACGCATTTCCAGTCTGCTGTCCTCAGTCGGTTTTCTGGGACCTGGGCTTCCCTTAGAATGTTCCGGAAGTTGTAAATCGTAAGCGGTCATGGGTATACTTTCCTCAGTAGCAGTTAATCAACCCATACAGACATCTCAGACCCTCCCAAGGTGGCAATGTGTCCTTCATGCGCATGTTCCGGCTTTTCAAGATCACCAAGATTCTCCGCACCATACGAATTATCAAGGCGCCAGCTGTGCAGAGCTTGACTGTTCTAGCACTTGACCGGAACAAGCTGCGGGCCAAGAGTAGCAAAGGTTAGGAACGATCCGATTAGTTCTTACTCAGTCTGGCGTGCTGTATGTGATGAAGTCCGTTAGATCTGTCAGGTTGGAAGTACGGTAGCGTTCAAGCCCTCAGAGCAAGAGGACCCAAGTTGTCCAGTAGTCAGATTTGAACTGCACTGCCGCGAACTCGACGATACAAAGGCCCCAAGTTGTCCATGGCATAGGATTACACGAAGAGTTGCGACGAGCACTCACATTAGGTGACCGTGGCCGTCAGATCAACCTTTTGCAAGCTGTTCTGCCGACAGATCTTTCGAGAGCTCTCCATGATGGTGGAAAGCTTCACGAAGTGCCTTGTGGCGATGTCCGCCGCCTACTACATGCTGTGAAGTGTGTTCGATGTCCGGCTTGACATGTGGCACGCTGGACGTGATGAAGCAAGCAAGCCGAGGTTTTGGGGGTTGACGTTGCTGATCTTTCTCCTGTATATCTTTGCGCAACCTGAGCTGCATGCAGCCGAAGCGGGTGACAACCGAGGCATTCAGATACCCTACTGTCTCACAGTTTGCTTTGCCAAATTCCTGGCCTTTGGTTATCTAGGAATGAAGGAATGGATCCTTATAGTAGTCCCTATATAGCCCATTAGAGTAGTTTGCATGTTCTTTTCCATTCCTTCGTTCCCAGCTAACCAAAGGCCAAATTTCTGCTTAGATCATCAAGATAATAATCCCAGTTTCCATTTCATTTTCCATTTTCTTTTCCATTTGATTCTCCATTATAGTAGTTTCCATTTTCTTTTCCATTATCCCAATATTCGCCCAACCAAATTTCTGCTTAGATCATCAAGGCTTGGGCCCCCCGCGCTGCAATCAGCAGCTTTCTTGTTGCACAACCCCAGAACCCCTAAAGGATCCAAAAAAAATGGAACCTCCTAAGAATCCCTAGTTTCCCCAATGCGGTAATGGGTTCTTATAGGAGGGGTGCCATCTTTTGGATCCTTTAGGGGGTCTGGGACTTGAGTCTTGAGTGACTGAACAGCCAAGGCTTGCCCCCACCTCAGTCTGTGGGGGAAAGTGAGCATCTTCAGAGCTGCAATGCAGATTTTCAGCTACTGCCCAACGGTCAAGTGCATTTGGGAGCGCGGCAAAACCTTGCATGCAAGTGGCAAATAAAATGCCCCTTGAGGTCTTCGTGCAGGGTGTCACAGATCTACTGCGAGATCAGATGTTCAGCGATGTAGAACAGGAGGACCGGACTTGCAGCTCAGGGCCAGGGCTGGCTTTAACTGAAGGGCGGCAAGATGCGGCAAGTTTTTCGGCTGGACACGGTGACACATAGGCGGTGGAAATGTGATGGCCAAGGGAATCAAGCCCAGTAATGTAATGGCACTTTGAGGCACTTAGGATCGTTCTGTAAATGGCAGGTTCCAGTGCAGTGGGGGAAGTGCTTGTGTGTTGTGAGAGCAGCACTCAGACCTCTGTCACTCCCTTGCCATCATGCTGATCCCTTCTGCAGTCGATCCTGAGCCAGTTCGGCTCCGTGCTAGATAGCATGTAACTTGGTCGGCACTTTGGGCTTGGGCAATTTTGTGCATGCTTTGCAACACAATCCGACGCAGCGCACAGCGAATTTTGGGCAGCAAGTCTCACAGGAGCATGCGGTGTATGCTTCAGGGGCTACCTGCATTTTGCCTGTTCAATGCGAGCACTCTCACGCAGCCAGCACAGTAACCACTCATCATATTTGCAGTAGTTTGGCTTCGGCCACAACATCAGCTACAGCGAGCCCTAAAGATGGCCCAAGTGTGCTTCCCTGCTGTCTCTACATCTAGGCAGCTCATTTGCTGAGTTTGTGTTATAGTTGCGCAGAGCGGCAAGAGACATGGGGCCAACAAATAAGACTGACTGTTTTGAAGCATCGGAAGCTTGTCAGGCATGCACGTTGAGCAGTGCGCATCTGAGGCTGTCTCTTTACATGGCCGTCACGGGTGGGAACGACTGGGTGGAGTATTACGAGACGGCCTCTTGGCACCATGGTCAATGTATATCAATATCCGGTACAAGCCTGCCGGTTGTGCAAGCTGCTATGGATGCTGGCCTGCTCTCACGACAGCCGCAGATTCGGTGCTTGAAAGATGTGCACAGGATTCCCTTTTCACACTGAAGATCAAACGCACCACATGTCATCCATGTCAGGTTCGAATGTGTGGACCGTTTTACGACATCTTGTTCCTGCTCTATACGTTCTTCTTTGTGCGGCTTGGCCGCACAAAGCTGCGAGACTGCGTGTGCGGATCATGGTGCTACTTCCATCCTACATGTAGTGTGCCAAACATGCGGCTTGCCAAGATTCAATCTGTTGCGTTAAAGGGGCTTGTCCATGAAGGTTCGCGCTTTTTAACATCATGACCGGTGTGTTTGTGGAGCGAGCGCTGACGGCAGCTATTCCTGACAGCTCGGGCCCAAGAACATCGGGTGAGCCTAAAGAACTTTGAGGTGGGTAGATGATCTTGGCACACGGGAAAGTATTCAAAGATGGACACTGAGGAGATGAAATGATTTGGGAAGAACAGAAGAAATTGGCAAAGCAGGCGCTTGCAGCCGAGCGCAAGCATTCTGCGCGTCATGAATTTGGAAGATCCGAAGTAGGCAGATGTCTCAATGCAGTTCACTGGCGCAAGCATTTGTAGCTGTAGCACACTCTTCGGAAGCTGATGCACGGTCTATAGATGGGTTTGTCTGGCTGCCTTGAGCAAATCTCACACAGCCGGGTGTGAAAATTTGAAGGTGGAGGACTTCAAGGCTCTCTGCAGCTGGCTCGGGATGCAAATTCTTGTGCGAAGGCAATATCAGCAGCAGGATGTTCTTGTGCTGCAGACATGGCCCAGGCAATCAGTTGGACACGGATGGCTCAGGCAGGGGCTTATACTTAGTCACGACAATTAGCTTACAGGCAGCAGGGTAAGAGGCACCCTACATGCAGGATGTTTTCAACGCTTCTTCAGCTCGCAGACGAAGGGTTTTTGCAATGAAGCCATCCGAACGAAAAAATACCTCGCGACACGCAGTTCCTGGTGTGAAAACATTATTCCATTTAGGCAGAATTACGGGCGTGCACCGTAGCTCAACGAGGACAGAAAGTCCGCAACTAAACTCCGGTGACAAAGCCTGTTCAGGAACTATCACCAAGACTGAGTTCAAGAAGCATATGCGGAGCGATGTCATGGTGCCACTCGGCTTAAAGCCTCCCAAGAAGCGTTGCAACCACGCTTCGCAGCCTTTGCCCAAGATGCAGGTCAGTCCCGCTCAAGGGAAACTCACACAATACCGCATTGGACTGCAACAACTGCTGTTCATTCTGAGAAAGGATGCAGTCCGGATTTGTCTGGAGTAGACGTGTTGTAAACCAACATGCGATAAACGTGATATGAGCCAGGTCGTACATGTCCAGCGTTGGCCTGGAGATGCACGATGTGGAGTGACCCAGCATGCACTTCAGGGGCAGCGCACCTGTCCCTTTGCCCACCCGAGACAATGTGTTGATATCGGGAACAGGGGTCAACCGCCTGCAGCTGCACGAACCCAGGCACTTCTTCCGAACTGTTGCCGGAGAAGACGAGGAGGTTAGCATAGATCGATTTGTTGAAGGGTGCATGGCCCGGACCCCAGATGTACGTGCAGGAAAGTTGCCCACTCCCACTCCTCCTCCATGCTCCTACTGGTATTGCCGCTATTTCTTCTTCTCAATATTTGGCATTCTCGCCACTGTTGATGAGCAAGTGCTGCCTGGAAGCCAGCGAGGCTATGAGAGGCAATGCGACTGCGCTTGACGTCCAGCGACAGCTGTTCGAGTGCGTCTTTGCTTTACAATGCTTTAGATCAGTCATGCTATCCGGCATCGTGGCTGTTCTCGCAGCATCCTGCGTTGCTGTAGCTGAGGCAAGCGTCTGTCAGACGCAATCAAAGCCCTCAAGCGGGAGACCACGGAAAACATGTGTAAGGCTTGTGGGCATGCTCAGCACGTTTCTCATGCCCTCCTGCAAGCTTTAGCTTGGCTCTCGCAGGTGCAGTGGATGCTGTCAAAGGCCTTTCCAAGCTTGGCAGACGAGATGCCAAAGATGGATGACCAGGCAAGCGCACTGCTTGCTGATGCGAGTCCCAAGCTCCAGCTTTGCACTGTAGTGCTGCAGATCAGTCCTGCGATGCCCTTGAACGACAGAATCTTAGGATTTGATGGGTGCAGTTTGAGACTGAATATGACTGAAGTGTATCCTTACTGGGTCTGCAAAACTGGCTCCTGTGCCAGGCACAGCCCTCAAGCACAGGCCGCTCGCCTTCTGCGAGCTATGCGAGCTCCAACATGGGGAAGCAGAATGCCGCGAAGGCAAGGACAATCGAGGAAGCGTAGGATCAGAACCCATCAAGCAAAAGCTTGTAAACTTTGATCACGAAGGCGCGGCCTTCTAGCCCAACAAGATCCCCGGGCACGAGCTCCGGCTTCGGAGAGGCGACTGGTGGGAAGGGCTCGTTGCATGGCACAAGATCCCGTACGTTTGCTAGGAAGTCTGGAAAGTAAATGAAAACGCGAATGCGAGACCGCCTAGGCAAGTGTGGTTAAGGCAGCCCCCCCACCCTGCCCTTTTTCGTGGCTTTGGCCGGACACCCCCAAAACCGGGGAGGTAGCAAGAGGGTTAACTTACTCTCCTAGTCTCCGGACCTGGATCTAAACGCCCCAGTCCGGCCTCGGCGCATTTCTACGAAGTCTGGAAAGTAATTTTTCTGTGCCTTGTGCGTTGCAGGGGCATAGCCCGGGAACGGCATCGCAAGTACCGTAAGCAGCAAGCAACCTTCAGCATCAGAACCGATCTGTAAAACAATATTTAAGATAAGCCCAATATCTACCCTATTATAATATAATAGTTTCCATTTTCTTTTCCATTATCCCTATATAGCCCCTATATAATCCCTATTATAATATAGTAGTTTCCATTTTCCCTTCCATTATCCCTATATAACCCCTACATACTATAGAAGTTTCCATTTTCTTTTCCATTATCCCTATGTAACCCCAATATTACTAGTCTGTGGACGAAGGCCACTTCCAGTCCAACTCGCGAGACGACGCCGCCAGGGCGAATCCTCGCAAAGGACCCGGGCCCCTGCCAGTCCAAATCATGGGTTATATTGGGGTTATACTGGGGTTAGATTGGGGTTATATTGGGGTTATATTGGTGAAGCAAAGTCTTGGAACTTCTCACTGCGCTGGAGGAAATGGAGAAGAACGTGCATTTTCACATCGCCAAGTGAGTCATAATAACTTGTTAGCTTGGCTGTGTTGCCCGCTGCAGGAAGTGGAGCATTTGCTTTGTAGAAAGATTGGTTTTGGACACTGACGCACGGCCCGCGGAGCAGCTGCATGGGCACATGTTATGTGGGCTTTCTTCCTCAGGCCCCGCGAGGCCGCATTCAGTTCCTGTGGCCGCCATCATCGGATGGTGTTGCAATACTTTTGAGATGTGGTGTCGTTGTCTTTTCAGATCTGGGCAAATGTTCGGCAAGCTTAGCCGAGTGGGGCTGACACCACCTTTCCTTCGAAGCACATCTGCGTCCCACTGGTCCGAAGCTCCAACGCTACGTATCAGTGCCAGCAACCTTTTATTGACCGCACAGCTCGGACCCTCTTGGAATAATAAGCTGGTGGCTATTGAAGAGTAGAGGACGCTCAGCTCAGAGCGCGTCACCTAGCTGGGTCCAGCTGATAGTTGCGCATGGTAAAGCTGCAAGGGAGGGGTGGAACCCAACAAACACTTTTGGAGTCGAAGATCGGGTTTTCAAGCTGTGGTGATGGCTCGGCTCTACAAAGCTTGGTTGCCCAACCTGATTTCTTTAGCAAAATATGGCCCCAATATAGACTTCAAAATATCATAATCCTCATAATGAGTACCACCCAAAAAAGGTATCCCTAATTTTGGGAAACCCCAGCCGCCTTTCATATCCTAAACCCTAAATAGGAGTTTCCATTTTCTCTTTCATTATCCTAATATAACCCCCCATATACTATCTATTTAAGGGGGACTATAGGTTGGGGCAAGGACCGGCTTCCCAGCTTTCAATGGAGAAGAAGACTAAGCCTTCTTCTCCTTTACTCAGCTACAGTCTGAACTCCTTAGACGGTGATTTTATAGGGAAGTTTAGGGTTTATGGTTATTCTTAGGAGAGTATTGTAGGGGTTATTAAGGGAGAATCTAGGAGTTTAGACTGTGGCTCTACTGGGGCTTACTTTGCCAAGGTTTCGATGCTCCGGTCCAGGTGCAGCGTCTATCATTGTTGTTTTCACGAGAGCATCCAAGCTTGTTGGCGTAGCTAGCATTGCCACGCTCTTCCAAAAGTCGCGTTCGGGCGCATTTCCGCGAAATCCTAGCAGAACATTCTTGCAACTCCCACCTGCGAACAAGTAACTTCCCAATTCCTGCCAACATCAGAGCATGTGGCATGGCTGATGAGCCTTCTGCCCTGGTCTCATTTGAAGCTCCGCCGGCCCGGTGAGGGATTTTCATCTTTTCCCAGGAGGCAATGCCGACGATTCTAGACGATGCGAAGCTTCATTTGGGTGGACGCGTTTCTCAGCTGGCTCCCATGGCGGCATACTTTTGGCTCATGCTGAAGTGCATGTTGTAGCACCAGTCAGGATGACAGCCTCGGACGGGAGGGCAGGTGAATGGGTTCCAGAAATGCTTACACTAGTAAAAATGATATAATAGTAATAATAGTAGTAATAGGATTAATATTAGTAAGAATAAACAACAGTAATAACAGTGCAATGCAACTCTAGCTCCCCAACCTGCTTTGGCACCTCCAGGCTGGTGCTGTTTCAGCCAGATGTCACGTGTGGAGCCGGTGATGTATGAAAACCGCCTGCAGCCTACAGGCACCATTAGAAAAAAAGGAGCGGAAGAGCTTGCTACAAGTAGCTGAACGCCACTAGACACGATGGAGCACATGGGCGTTCCAGCAGCGCGACGCAAGCCAGCATGCATTAGATTGCGGAGTCTAGAAAGCCCAAAACGTAGCTAGCAGGTTATTGTCAAACAATGTTGCCAGGCCATACCACAACCCGCCACAAGGCCCAGAACTTCAGGGTAGCTTATCTGAAACGTCTGCCTCCGACAGTTCAAGGCCAAAGACGCAAGTGCCGCTGCCGCTGGCGCTGGCCTCTTGACTCAATACTCAAAGACTTATAGTGCCCCGTAAGTAGAGTAGATAGAATATGGGGTATATGGGGATCTTATTCTAATATACCCAAAGCCATATTCTATCTACTTAAGGGGGACTATAGGAACATGCTCTTTGAGCACCCTGAAGCAGCAAAGTTCTTAGGAACATCCTCTATAATATCCCTATATAGCCCCCCTAAAACCCCTTTAAAGGGTACCCTAAAATTTGGGTCCTTGCATCCTTAGGGAGAACCCTGAAGCAGCAAAGTTCCTGGTCTTTCTATTTGCTGGATTTGAGGCTGACGCTCTGCACGATGATTCTCGCCAGCCAGCCCATGGTCCCTTCAAGTATTGTAGGGGGCCTAAATAATCACCAATATTATGGTTCCATATTCCTTGTGAAATTATAGTATATGGTACCTCAAGTGGACCTTATATGGTCCCTTCAAGTAGGGATAATGGAAAAATGGAAACTACTACATAAATTTATTGGGGTTGTCTAGGGATAATGGAAAAGAAAATGGAAGCTACTATAGCATATTGGGGTTATATAGGCCCCGTGACGACATGTGCGTCGAGCCTTTTTGAGCTCCGCCAAAGCACCGTGATCTGTACATAAGCTCGCCATCTCCATGGCCGACTGGTGCAGCTGACAGCAGCTGGTGCCGGCTCGGACACATTCCGACATCCCCATTTCAAGAAAGAGGATTTCTTGCTTCGTAGCCTTGCCGAGAGAACGGCTTGAACCTGACATAGCCATCGTAAATTCAGAAACTTCTTTGTGCTGATGCTCTGGCTCAAGCCAAAACATAAAACTCCTCCGTGGGCTGTGCCCCAGGCCTCAGCCTGAGAGAGTCCATTGGTTGACCTGGTGAGTCGTGGTTAGTCAGTTCCCAATATAGAGGAGCGGATCCCCTTAGCACTCCCAAATGACTCCCCAATATTCATCTCCCTGAACCTTTCCTTCGTAGCCTACAAGCAACCAGTACTTTGCTGGCGTCCTGCAGCCTCAGATTGCTCGAGCCCAGGTGAAGAGGAGCAAGGATGGACGTTGATCCAAGTCCCGTGCTGGAGGCGCAGCGGAAGGCCAGGGAAGTGGGATCAAATGGGATCAGCATTGGGGTAGTTCCCAAAAGTAGGGTCCCATTTTGGTACCCCTAAAACTTAGGTGCTGTGGTATAATCTATACCTAAAAGGGGCCCATAATTTTGAGAACAACCCATTGAGAAGTTCAGGAAAACAAGGTTGCTGTTTCGGTCGTGCTGGATTTGGGATTCAGTTGAGGAGTTCATAGTCCAGTGGAAGCCATGACAACTGGTGCATGCTCTAGTCTAGGGTCTAGGATTCGCTTCTGACCCTGGATTTGCGTCAAAATTCGAAACAAGCTTTTGCAATCTAGTATTTAAGACTAGACCTTTCACCTCTGGCATGAGTGGAAACTGTGCCATGCCCGCACGCTTTGGAACACCTTGGCGTAGCCTCTGCTGACTTTGCACAGAGGCTCACCCGGAGCTCTCCGAGCATTTGGACAAAATGCAAAAATTCGTCAACACCAAGCTGCGCCTCGGACATGACTTGCACCAAATCGTTGCAAAAACGGGAGGCCGCTGGAACTCCAGCAGTGGGTTCAGTTTGGCTGCTTGGGGTTACATAGGGATTGGGTTTAGGGTTTAGGGTATAACATAGGGCTATATAGGGACAATGGAAAAAGGGAAGGTACTACATAAATATGTTGGGGTTGTCTAGGGATGATGGAAAATTAAATGGAAGCTACTATAGTATAGAGAAAATTGAAGCTACTCAATAGTATATTGGGGTTATAGATGGCATCGTTGGGGAAGTAGAGCGACAGAGTACGTTGAAGGGACGTAGAGCGCGGCAGGTTTGCCACCCTTTCCCTGGCAATGACCAGCCGAGTTCCTTTCAGCTGAGGTATCACCAACTCACGCAGACTCTTCTGGAGTGCTCCAAATTTTTTACTACTATTAGCATTGTTATAGTTATTACTATTGCTACCATTTTACTATTGTTACTATTATTACTGTTGTGCTTATTACTAGTGTGACTTCTATTATTAGTATTGTTGCCATTATTATTGTTGCTGTTATTATTCTTACTAGTAGTATTACTACTTAGGCATGGCTCATTACTGTGGCCGCCGCCAAAAGGCACCGGCCTGGCCGCGTCCTGCTCCAGGTACCTGGTGAGCCCGCCATTCGCAGCGGCCACGCCTGCAGCGGCGGCAGAGTTGAAGGACTTCTTCGAAGGCTTGGGATCCAATGCAGAAGGATATGGTAGTTTCCCAAAATAGGGGGACCCCAATATAGGCCCCAAAATAATGTAATCCTTGTTATGGGGACCCCCAAAAGGGTACCCCAAGTTTGGGAAACCCCATATCTCCATGAAGCTTTTGACGTGCTGGCATGAACTGCAGCAATGTAGCAGGATGTAGACAGCAATCTTGTCTTGCAAGTCTTCCTTCCGCAGCATGAGTTGTCCATGCCCTAAACCCTAAACCCTAAACCCTAAACCAGCAGCCAGGCTTCATCAAGGCTTTTGAGGTGAGATTCGACAAAGTGCGATGGGCAGCGGCCTGAGCGGAGCTCGTGGTATACTTTACTACTTACTATAGTAGCTTCCATTTTCTTTTCCATTATCCCTATATAACCCCCTATATAACCCTCTATAACCCCTATAATCCCTTTTGTTACCGACAGTTTTATTGTTGACAAGCGCGAGTACAGCTCAATGCATGCTTTGCACTGGTGCATTGCTTTGAGCTTTTGAAGGTTCAAATCCTCTCAATAGTGGCGAAGCCACAAACGCCAGCCGTTGCGCTGGAGGTGCTCGCACCCTTCGAGGACGGAATGATTCAATTCCTCACTTTGAGCCTTGAGACCATGTCAACGTAGTCAGCAGCCACACTTTGGGTGGAATCATGGTCAAAGCTGTCTGTGAACCTGACTTTGCCCCGATGTGGGAGCTTCCAAAGCTCAGGTTGCTCTTTACAAGCGGCGACACGATTTGGGGTATAGTCCCCCTTAAGTAGATAGAATATGGGGGTATATGGGGATCTTATTAGAATGTACCCAAAACCATATTCTATCTACTCTAGGGGGACTATATCCTCTCTGAAGGTTTTCAGCTTCGTGCCTAGACTTCAATCAATACCTGCCTTCGAAGCCAGATGGAATCCTAGTAGCAGCCCACCTCGTACAAGACCTTCTGCAATCCCATGAGATAATGCATAGCCAAGCCCCTGGCTCTACTTACGGGTGGTTAGTAGGGAATAATTGAGGAATTAGAATCCCAAAATAAAGTAGTCCCTTCTTCCCGACTAACCCCCAGTGAGTGTATGGAAGGCATCCATGGCCGAGAGCCGCGATGCTAAATTCCTCTGGCAGGCGCTGAAGGCGGCCCATCGTGATGAGATTGGATTTAATAACAGGTTCATAACTCCCACATAGCTGCCAATAGCGGGGTTACAATTACAAAGGATAATATATATATGTATATATTATATTAGATTATACTATATCATATTGTATTATATTATATTATATATAGGCAACATAGGGATGTATAAAGTTATGTAAGGGCGGCTCATAGTGACTGTATATGTTCCTTACAGGTGTGATTGTATATATATGGGGCTTCCTTTTGGAAGACCATGAGTTAAAGCCACACTTCACATGTGTATTGGTTGAAGATTAGTTAAGTGAAGAGTTTACCGTTAGGGTACCCTAACCCCTAAGCCCCTTAAGCGCGCAAGGGGCTTGGATCAGAACCATCTGACCAGCTCAAGATTTGGTAGTTTCCCTAAATGGGGGGACCCCAATGTAAACCCCAAAATACTATAATCCTCATAGTGGGACCCCCAAAATGGTATCCCTAATTTTGGGACCTAAACCCTAAACCCTCATAGAATGGCCTCGTGTCAGGGTGAGAAGCTGACCCTGAAGGGGGACACGGAGTCCGCCAAGGCCATGGGCAACTCTTTGCTGCAGCTTTCTGCTACATCATTCTTGTCGCTATTGCTATTGACCAGTTCTGGCTTCGATCCACGAGCATAAAACCGAGCACCCACCAGCCCGGAGCATAAGAAAACACTGACAGCATAAGAAGAAACACCTAGCCAGCTTCTCTATTTATGTAGTATTTGTGCTATTATCACTAGTTTCTTTTGGTTACCCCTGGCAGTCGTGCTGTACAACAGGAGCTCCTGGAAAGCCTTGGGGCTGAGATAGACAGCGCCTACGAGGCGTTCTGGTGTTTTTACCTGAACGATGGAGGAGTCTTAACGCAAGCCTAAGATTCAATTCGGTACGCCCAAATATGTAGATAGCTAGGGAAGGACCTGCAAAAGGGACCTCCTGCTTTCCAACGCCACGACCTCGTCCTTCACTTGCGGCCTAGAACGATGCCTAAGCACCGGAGTCATGTCCCTAAGAGCCTTGGAGCATCGACTCCTTAGCTGCACTGAGACCCTACTGCAGATGTTCGTGGTGGCTTGCAAGTCTAGCAAATAGTGCAGCTTCCAGACATCGAAATGCAGCGGTCAACTTGTCCTCCTATGTTATGAAGCTGATGTGAAAGTGCGCGGGATATGTTGCAGTATAGCTAAACAGTACCACGCCCGCACCCGCAAGTATGGCAAGCTGGGGGCGTCAACTAGTCCAATCTTACGCTCTTCCGAGTAGAAGTTGACTACGGGATTCATCTTTGAAAATCATCTTTTTGGCTGCACATGCCAGCCACTGTAAATACGCCGATTTTGAAGCTGCTTTCAGCCTGGTCGCCAGCAGGCTCTCTCTCACTGGGAACCCACATGGTAAGCATTTAAGTAGTGAGAAATTGTGAGAAAGGCTGTGTTACGGCTGACATTTCTTGCTCGATTGGCTGCATCAGGTGCAGGCACTGATTCAGTCCCATTTCCACAAGACCAACGCCCTGCTCTGGAAAACTTTGGGCCGTTCGCAGGAGCCGGCGCCCCAAGCTGATCTGATATAAGCTATAATTAGTCTAGTTTAAACTCCTCAAAGAGGGTTATATATGGGAGTATTACAGGGGATCGTAAGTGGGATGCTAGGAGTTTAGACTATAGTTCACTGATTAACTACGCCGAGCTGTACAGTAATTAACTTTGCCTGGAAGGCAAGGCGACACTGCCCGATAATGGCATGCGGGCATGGCATGTTTCACGGCTCTGCGACAAAGGTTTTACAAGAGCTCCATCCTCTATCTCGCGTTCACTCCTTTGGAAGCGATTCCGGTGGAGGAGTGCGGAGTGCAGCCATTTTAGGGCTTAGGGTTTGGGCGCAGTTGCGCAAACTTGCACGTCATGTGGGCTGTCGCAAATCAGGTATCCACCCTTGCAGCTCACTCGAAGAATAAGTCCAGTAATTATTCCTGCAAGGCCCTACATGAACTTTCAACTTGCACTTTCTTTCCGTTTGATTCTCAGTCATCCTTAAACTCTAAACTCTATGCCCGGATATCTTACTTAGACTTCTTTTTAGGGAATAAGGAAAATATCATGCCTATACAATCCCTATCAAATATATTCCCATATCCCCTACTAAGAACCAGTAGAATATTGTCAAGGAGAGGCCGCGCATCGCCTTCGAGACGGTGATTGCAGCACTGGTCGCTGAGGAGGTCAGCATTGCTGCAGCACCCGTATCTTAGGGTTTACTGTTGAAGGGTTTAGGGTTTGAGGTTTCAGGTAGCTTCCTGGGGTTTAGTCGAGAATAAGGGAATATAGTATATAGGGGTGAAAAGGGATCATATGCCCCTATTCTCTAGTAAGAACCAGCACGCCAAGCAGCTGCAAGATTACCTATTCGTTCAAAATGTCAGTGTCTAAAGATCCTATAGGAGTTCTTTGAAAGGAGACCCCCAAGAGAGATTGCAGATGATTACAGGTAGCTGTTAACTCAGGGTTGGAAGCTGTCCTACATTGGTCATCAAGAGGCAGGATGTGGACAAGACCACTGCTTCAAAGAGGCACGCTTTCGTATCTTGCTAAGTTCAGCATGCGTCACAAAGGTGTTGGGCATCAGTGTTGTTGCAGGGCTGTTGTCTAAGAACTTCCTGACAGCAGGAGTTCAACTTTGGCGAACTCACCCAGCAAGAGATCATTCCAGCGCTCGACGGAGTCTGCCCCAGCTACGATCAGCCACCCTCGGTTCAAATCATTGGGTGGAGCACATGATGCTTTTCATGCATGCATTGGCTGTTGAATGTCTCTGCCAGCTGTCCTGCAAATGCCTGCATCCAGATAGTTGAGGTTCTGAATTCGCTTGGGTCAGAGACCTGCTGCAGGCGCTCTCGGTTGGGTCCTAAATCCCATATACAATTTCGCACATCGCCAAAAGCTACAGGAACCTGCCATCCCAACCGCAGCCAGATGCGATAAAATACAGAAGAACATTCTTGTGTGGAACTTCTATGCTTGCCTGTCGCTGCAGCTGCTGAATGAGGGGGAGTACAGGTGTTGTTGATAAGTTATACCCAACACGCATGAACTGCTTCGAAGACCTTTGAAGACTGCCCTGATTCTGCAGTGCAATGTGAGCGTAGTCTTTACGGGGTGGGCCATTGAGGAGACTCGGAGAAGCCATAAACCATCCCTGGCCCTAAGCAAAGCATGAGTCAGACACACTCAGCTACGGACTCCGCATGGATTCAGCATTCAAAAGCATGAAGTAACTTGCAGAATAGCATGTACCACTCCTTGTCAAGAACCTCCGCTGTTTCGCGGTTCTTGGAAGTTGCTGTGCAAGGCCTTCAGCGAGGGCAAGTTTGATCTGTCCCTGCCACAGGATCTAGCAAGCCTTTACTGTCTTTTCAGCTTTCGGCTGACATCCCCCTAGCGAGGTTCGATGCGGCAATTGCCAAGAATCGGGCACAAATGGAGGCGCGGGGCATGCCGTGAATGAACCGTGTGTCCTGCAGCAGACCGACACCAGCAGCAGCTTTGCAACCAAGAACGCATCAAAGTTCTGCCAACAAGTGAGCATGTGGCAACGGGCTTCATGCATGAACATCCGCATCATGCAGTTTTTCCAGGGCCTCAAAATCGGGATACGCTTTGTGACCTCGGTGATACGTGAGATAAAAGAGGAGATGTTCTCCGGGATGCCTCTTCGGGATGCTGTATTTCCAGAAGCTCCAAACTGTCCCAAGCCCTTTTGCAGGCCAGCCCCGAGCTGAAGTCAGCGGAAGCCACGCTGAGGCCCGACTTGGTAGGCGTTTCAAACACAAGGCTGAACGACCGCGCAAGCTGCTGGTAACTTGAAAAACAGTGATGCTACCGCGATTCGGCGATGCCCTGGCTGTACGGTTCAGAGCAATACATCCTGTCCAATCCACCGCAGTCGACCACGCCTAGCACGGAGACTTTTTGCACCATAGCTGTTACAACCCGGAGTCCGGAGGCGGAAGATGTGCGCACTCTCGCTGATGGAGCTGGCTTTTAGGCCACCTTGCCTTACATGCGGCACTGCGGACAGGATGTAAACCCTCGACTGGTGCTAAGCATGTTTGCAGCAATTTGGCCTTTGTGATTGTGCTCGCGCCAGGAAGCCAAAGAAGCAGAGGCGCCTAACCTTCTCAGAAATTGCGCAGCACTGCCGAGTGCCTCGCCAGCATGAAGGCCTTAAGAGGCTCCCGACAGTGCTAGCGTCATCCACGAAGCTTCAGCGCTAGCGTCATCCATGTAGCCTCCCTGGCAGCAACAAGCAGGGTCAGTACGTAAGGGGCTGGTCTTGCAAGCACCTCCTATGGCGTCAGCGTCTGTGAGGTTCTTGTGTTCAATTCTAGAATCAGTGTTTGAATGCCCAGCCTGGCGCTGAGACTTGATTGCATTGTGATCCCTGAATTGAGGTAGGAGCCACGGAGGCACGCTTATGGGTGACGTTCGGTCCTGGTGTCAGCCACGTGCTCCTTTAGCAGCATTCAGCATTGCTAGGAGAGACGGTTCCTACATGCTTGGGTCATCTTCCTCTAGATGAATACTGATTGAGCAGTTGCAATGTGATTGCGAAGTTTCTCCGTGCACCTGGCGGACCAGACCCTGCTGACCCATGCATGCTCCGGTCAAGGACCATGTTCATAAAGAAACCCTTCATGACAAGCTAAGCCTACTCGCACAGCCAGATTTCTGACCGCTGTCCAGAAACTTACAAACTCTCAGCTCCTGAATGCCTGACCTGAACCACCTACGAAGAGGTAACCAAAGCGCATTTGCCGCGGAAGGAGTGGAGACATCTATAACCTCTTGCTAGAAGAGCATGCCAAACAGCTTGCCATACAGACTAATAGCCGCAGATCCCAGCACCGTCCTCTGCAAGAAGTTCCACAGCACCAGTTCAGCACAGCAAGCAGACCTCAAGCCCATGGCGCTCTCTGCAAGAAATCATGGCTCTGCTGACCTTCGTCCAGACCCTGGCATTCCCTTGGCGGCTTGAGCATTGTTATTTTCTGGAACTTGTTCATCCAGGTGCTGTGCACTCTGGCCACAGCCGATGCGTCCCTCAAGGCACGGGGCTGCTCAGCATCAGTGCGACAGCGTGCGACATTGGGGCTATATTGGACTTATATTGGGGTTATATTGGGTTTATATTGGGATAATGGAAAGGAAAATGGAACCTACTATAATGGGGCTATATGGGGGTTATATATATATATGTGGGCTCATAAAGGCTTATATTGGGAGAATGGAAAAGAAAATGGAACCTACCATAATTATGTAGGGGTTTCCCAAAACAAGGGTACCCCAATATAGACCCCAGTATACTACAGTCCTTATTATTAAATAGGTACCCCTAATTTTGGGAAACCCTAAACCCGATGAATCCCTAAATATACTATCCTATGTACTCCTATATAATCCCTATAATCCCCCTTTAAAGGTACCCCTAATTTTGGGAAACCCTAATCCCTATAAACCCCTATATAACCCAGTTTCCATTTCATTTTCCATTTTCTTTTCCATTTGATTCTCCATTATTGGGCCCAAATGGTACCCCCAATTTTGGGAATCCCCCATATAGGGGTTATCAGCCGGGAAACAAACTTTTGCGAGGTGAGCCTCCTCGCGGAGCGGCCAGCAGCCAAGAGAACTGACTAGAAGATTGGTTTTAGGGTTTAGGGTTTAGGGTTTAGAGTTTAGGGTTTAGTGTTTAGGGTAATATAACCCCAATATAACCCAATATTACCCCAATATACTATAGTAGTTTCCATTTTCTTTTCCATTATCCCAATATAACCCCAATATACTAGAAGATTCGGTTTTAAGAGCCGCATGAACACAGACTTCTGTAGTGCCGCAAAGTGCCAAAGTGCTACTCGTGCTTTGTAGGCTGTATCTCCCTGTGGCCTGGATCAAGACTTTTCGGTTTTGTCTCGATAGCCACGCTGCCCAGGAGTTACTTGGGCGATGGAGGCGGGCCGGTCAAAACCTCTGCAGAAAGTCAAGCATGTAACTATCAACCGTCCGCGAACTCTTTCTGCTCTCTAGACGAATTGCGGCGCAGATCTCAGCTGCTTAGAGCTTTACAACTGCCAAAGCACCGTCAGCGAAGATGCCGTTCCATTGCTCACCTGTCCTTGTCATCTGTGCCAGGCGGCGAAGAGCCAGATGTGCTGCATCCCTGGCACGACGCCCAGACCTTTTTGTGAAAGGAGCGCTCTCAATTGGAAGAGCGACAGCAATTGTGCCATGTAATCAGGCCTATTCGAGATATTGCTGCTGAGAAGCAAGCAGAGGCACAGCTGGGCGGAATCTCGAGATGCATTTCTGCCAGATTTGCTGAGCCCCAGGCAGGTAAACGGCCCACGCTCACCCTTCGCGATGGACTGCCCCTGCTGTGTAAGAAGCTCTGCTTTTTCGGTGTGCGAGTTTGTCAAAATGATCCCTAAATGAGATAAAAAGCTTGATACCCCACAATTCCCTTATACTCCTATCTCCCCGGGGTCCCTTGCTGCCCTTCCTTTTGAGTTGAGAAACTCCCATATGTCTCCCTGGGAAAGCTGTGCAGGACTCGGTTTCCAGGTTGAAGCTTCGCCTGCCGCTGTGCCAAGCGGAGCCTTCACCCCGGAGACCTATATGTTCTAGTATACGATAGTATAATGGCTGTATATTATAGTATATGTTCATTATACTGTATTTAGTTTTGAAGCGGGGCAGGTCAGATTTCCAAAATCACGAGAATGGTAATCCGTAATTACTCGTAATGATTATCGTAGTAACGACTCGCAACGATTATTGATGCAATGGTAATCATTATGACAAATGCTATTTGGCCTTCACAGGCTTTGCTCAGTTTTCGAGGCAGAAAAATCAGTACGTGCGTCAGGTTTGGCCGTGCCAGTGATGCTTCGAGGGGCTAGTAACATCCATCGTAGGGACAGAAGATAGGCATGCGACCAACTACCTATGGTAGTTTCCCAAAATAGGGGGACCCCAATAGAGACCCCAATATACTATAGTCCTTATTATGGGGACCCCCAAAATGGTACCCCTAATTTTCGGAAACCCTAAACCCTATAAATCCCTAAATATACTATCCTATGTACCCCTACATAATCCCTATAATCCCCCTTTAAAGGTACCCCTAATTTTGGGAAATCCCCCTATCCCGATCCCCGCCGAGGCGGAAGTGGCCGTGTTTGTGGGCCTCTTCAGCTTGTCGCACACGAGCAACGAGGCCCATGATCCTACCAACCAGGACCCTCCTTGTACCCTTGATTGGGGATATATGGTCCCTACTAGTGGGTACTTAGGCCCTAATTGAGGGTAGGAGGAGGGTCTAGGAAGTTCTGTCTCTTGACTTGATGACTTGAGAGGGTTCCAGCAGCTGACAGATGGAACTGGAAAGGCTGAACACCCTTGCCAGATGCGTCCAGTACTGCTTGATTGTTTGCGTAGGCTATTCTTTCGCATTACGTGTAGCGGGCCCCCTTCCCTTTGAGCTTTGGAGTGGCAATGTTCACAGGTAGTGGTTCTACACGGCTTTGTGCAACAACACCAGAGGGGTTATATAGGGGTTGTATTGAGGTTATGTAGGGGCTATATTCGGATAATGGAAAATTCATGGAAACTATTATTTATGATTGAGAATAACGACAACAACAGCAACAACATGGTGCTGAACGCGGCATGACCGTTTATTTCCTCACAGTAGCAGAGGCCAAAGTTGAAGATTGGAT